CGCGAGCGAGAAAATAGATATGATATATCTAGAGATAAACAAAAACGCCTATGTCATCCCCTATATAGACAGCATGGAGAGCTGGCTACGTATCGATTTATATATCTATGTACCCATAAATAGGAACCGCGCTCTCTATATATGTATAAAAGCATTTACTTATATATATATACATATGTGTGAGAGAGAGAGAGAGAGAGAGAGAGAGAGAGAGAGAGAGGAACAAAGACTAATCTTGAAGATTAAGCAATATTACAACGAATCCTATATAGTGATATATATATATATATATATATATATATATATATATATATATATATATATATATATATATATATATATATATATATATTTTTATTTATATATATTTATTTATTTATTTATTTATATATATTTATTTTCAACGTACCTTCAAGGTCACTCTTTATTAAAACCCGGTGATAGTGGAGGCGGACATGGAAGTGGAACTTATATGCTAAAATTGCAGTTTTCATCCCTCAAGTTTGCATTGATTTGACATTTGGTCCCTCATGTTCACTAAAAATACTTTTGCTCCCTCTCATGTTTGAATAATTTAACACTTTTGGTTATTTCCGTCAACTTACCATTAGTCCGTCAGTTACAGCAGTGATGGGAACACACATGAATCCGTTAGTATTAACGAAAATCGACGGGAAATGAGTAAAAATGTTAAATTTTCAAAATATTATGGACCAAATGTGTTTTTTTAACCATGGGGGTTAAATGTAAAATTGATGCAAACTTGGCTGACGAAAACTGTAATCTTTCCGAACTTATATGATAATAATAATAATAATGGGAACATTACAGTTTTCACCCTCAAGTTTACAACTATTTCATATTTGGTTCATAAAAAACATATTTGGTCCCTTATGGCTAAAAAAATCAACACTTTAGTCCTTCCCGTCAATTTTACGTTAGTACTAACGGAATCAAGAGTGTTCTCGTGACTTCCTTAACTGAGGAACTAACAGTAAATTGACGGAAATGATAAAAAATGTTAAATTATTGAAATATGAGGAACCGAATGTATTTTTTATGAACATGAGGGGCTAAATGTGAAATTGGTGCAGACTTGAGGGATCAAAACTGTAATTTTCTCTAATAATAATATAATAAGAATAATGTAGTAGTTGTGTGTGAAAGTGATTATAATATAATACTGAATACTCAAATATTATGATGATTTGTAATTACTTTAAAAAACAAAAAAAGTGAATCTAATTTAACTGGGTCGCCGAGTTACGTGGGCTTTTGCCTCTTCAGATGGTTGACTTTTTTTGGGATTAGTGAAAACTGTTAAAACTTAAAAGTATTATTTCCCCCAAAAGTTCTTAATCTACTTTAATTAATATTCGTTAATTACACCTCCTCTCTCTCCAATGAATTGTAATTTCATCCAAACGCTATACATAATTAGTGAACAAAATAGATACACGAAATGGTGTACTTTTGAAAATCGAATATACCAAAATTCGACATTAAAAAATCCGAGTTATTTTATAAAAAAAAAGGGTAAATTACACCCACAACCCTGAGGTATGCTTAAATAACTTTAATTTCCTTGTGGTATCGATAATTACACTCACCCCTGAAACGTAGTTAGAAACTCTAATGGGATAATGCATTGGATACGTTATTCCGATAGAGTTCTAACGGACTATTGGTTTCTGGAAGTGGTGGAGACAACAAAGAGCTATGAGTGATTTAAGAAATGTTGGGGGACCCATGTCACCCCATAACTTTCTATATATATATATATAAATAGAAAAATATAAAAGTAAATTATTCTCCATTGAAAAATAGTTTAAGGAAAACTACTACATATATTGCTTAATTTATTTTCTTCTATTCTTATATTATTTTTAATAATAAAGTAATATATATTCTTAAAACATTTGGTAAGATGTGTCGATCACATTTTTGTTCTGTTCTATGGTTAGGTCTTGATCTTGACCGGTATTTATTTGTTAATATGTCTCTTACATCATGTTCACATGCAACAATAATTACTTTGTCTTTCCTTTTTTGTTTTGTTTTTAATAATTATTTGTTTCAATTTTACTTATAAAATAAAGAAACGGTACAACAACTCTAATGGTATTCTTGTAACTTAATTTTTATTAAATTATTGGGTAAATTATAACCACCCTTGAGGTATGGTTAAATTACAAAAACCCCACTTTTGTTTGGGTAATTACAACCACCCCCTCAACTATAAATCTTCTTACACGTCCACCCTTGCGGTTTCAAATTTAGTGGAATCTTCGATATTATATGGAAGATTATCACCTTTGTACCCGATTTATCCCATTCGAACTCCACATTTTGAAGCCAGATGATCATAATATGTGTCCTTTGGCTTGTATATATCAGATACTGGTGCCTCAGAAACTGTATGTTTACC